CCTAGGGTTTCGGAAATTGTTGACATGGAATTTGAACCTGATTTATACCAAGAAGTTCCTCTATTTCGTGATTCCCAACCTTCTTAATCAGGTTAGTTTAATCTTTAATGTTTCTTTCTTTGCATTTCTTTGATGTGTATGTTCTGTTATTTTGATATTATATGTCTATCTCTATGTTTAATTTTGTCTTTTTCTAATGTCTTTGATGTTTCTTATTAGCCAAATACAATGTTTTTGTCTGTTAAGCTATCATATACCGGAAAATTGGCTTTTTCCTCCGTAAACTATATGCAAAAATGTTAAATTTATACCTGATCTTGTATCCTGTGCTAAAACGTTTTCAAATTTTAAATAATTTGAATTTTATACCTAAACTTTTATTTTTGTGCGTAAAACACCATTCGATTAAACGCTGTTCAAACTCTGTTAAATCTAGTATATGTGGCATCCACGTAAACAGCTACATCAGATTTTCAAAATCTGAGAAAGAAAAAACAAATGACATCATTTGACCGCCAGAGATCTTGAGATTTGGCCCTAATCTCTCATCGGCGTTTTTCTGCCAGGCAAAATCCCGGCAGTGATAGAAACCTCAGGAATAGATAATCTGGTTTTTCTGATACTTTCGCTGGTGATGATTAAGAGCTTCCCCGAGAAGTCTTCAGCGGCAGCTCTGTGGCGGAGATTACCACCGGCGGATCTCTTCGGACTCATTGACGCGCGGAGAAATGCTGATGAAGGTCGATCTTCCTGGTGAGCTTGACGACGACCAGGAGAAGTATAACTCTTCTTCTTCCTCCTCTCCTATTGAACCAAGCTCTCGATTTAGACTGGTAAAGAAACTCAAACCATTTTTACTAGCCGATCGATTCTCAATTCCTCTTGGATTCACCATCGTTCCTAAGTAAAGAAACTCTAAGCTAATGTTCGCCGTCGTTCTCTGCTTACTATTCCTACCCTCTTAGCGGCGCCACCAACAGAGGAGGCGGATAAACTCGGTGGATAGTGTCAGTTGTCCACGTCTTGCTATCATCAGGTAAGTTACTATCCTGTCATCTTCTTCTTCTTCTTCTTCTTCTTCTTCTTCTTCTACGCCAATAGAGCAATTCGATAAGCGTGGCGACTGAAACGGTGGACGTCACGGCGGAGATTGCGATGGTGATGAGATTTTTGGAATTAAGAGGGGATTTAGTGGCATGATGGACATTTAGAGAGGAGATGTTGGCCGGGAAGGAAGCAAAAGACACCAGAGAAAGAGTCCATTGTAGAGATGTTGAAGAAGAAGAATACAAGAAGAAAAAAATAAGTAACCCGACGTCGTTTACACCTAAACCCGATGATGTTTTGCATTAGAACGAGATCTCTGACCTGGCCTCCACATCGACAAGGGTTGACGGTTTTTTAACGACGTTTGGTGTTAAGTATGTTTATGCACAAAAAACATTGTTTAAGTATGATACTCAAATTAAATAGAAGTGTAAGTATGTTTTAGTCGGATACATAAAGTCAGGTCTGAGATTAACATAATCGAATAGTTGGGGTCTAAAAAGGCCAATTTTCCATCATATACCATA